ATATGACAAAATAATTATTTATAAATTAGCAAGGGTTCATGAGGGAGGAGGGAAAATGAGGAGCTGATGCCAAGGGCTTAAATGGAGAGCAAATGTTTTGAGAATGAGGAGGGCAATGAATGTACAAATGTGCTTTACACAACTGATGTATGTATGGATTGTGATAAGAGTTGTATGAGCCCCTAATAAGATGATTTTTTTAAAAAAGAACAGTTATCAGTCTGAATTGATTCAATGACTGACTTGTATAATCTGTTTAAGTGATGAACATTGTTTTACATTTTTTTGATTAAGAGATAACTGTCTATGTATATAAATAAACATAAGAAAGGGTACCCCCCCACAAAAAAACCAGAAGTAGTCCATCCACTAACAATCTGAGCCTCAATTATGCTGCGGGATAGAAAACAAAAGTATGACTACAGACGGACCCACTGCATTCACCAAAGAAGGAAATACAACTTTAAGCAACTGGAAATTTTTCATATAATAAGCATAGCTATTCTCAAAAGAGGCAATGCATTTGAGGGCAAGACCTTGCTTACATTCAGCCCTCAACCCTCAGTACCAAACAGCCCTGGGATACGCGGGCTCTGAAACCTGTTGAGTGATTCAGAGAAAAGGAGCCACACCATCTGTAAATTTGTAGAATCTCCAGAAAGCCTCGTATGATTCACCAAATATCATAGCTGTCCAATAACATATCCTAAAGTATCATAGGAGAAAAACACTGATTACTTGAAAACAGCATAAAAAGCAGACATTCCCTATTTAGCACTATTACCAATTGTGACTCACATAATTAAGAGAAAATACATTATTACACTTTAGAGAAAAAAAACCCTATGCTGTACATGGTTACGGGTTAGGGTACGATCCACAAATCTGCAATTCAAAATCACCCACTGGTTCTCAGAAGAAAGATGGGGCTTTCTACTCAGTTAGGTAAACAGTTACGGTCTTAAAAACTCAGAGTGGCAGATCTGCCCTGTCCTCTAGGGTTGCTATGAGTTTTTAGTGGCAGTGAGTTCTTAGTAAGTAAAGCCAGTGGTTTAGTGGTTGGCTGCTAACCAAAAGGTCAATGGTTCAAGCCCACTGGCAGTTCCAAAGGAGAAAAATGTGACAGACGACTTCCATAAAGATTCCGGCCTTGGAAAACCTACAGGGCCCTTCTGTGCTCATGGTGGCTAAGTCAGAATCAGCTCTACGGTAAGAGGATTTCTTTGCTCTGGTAAAGGAAACCTTCCAAATGTGACACGGAAGTAAACAAAAAGAGGAAGATTATACCTACCTGCAGCATGTCATCAACCATAGTTAGAATGTACTGAACCGTCTGCTCTTTGGAGATATGAGTCATCAGATTTATGAATGTCTTAGCACACTAGAAAAAGATAAAATGTGTATTAATTATTGTTTTCAATCATGGGTATTGTAGTGGAATTTCAGTGAAACATCATTTCTCTACCATAAATTAATAAAATGTTACTAAGTGATTTTAATTACAGAACATGAATACTGTTTAAAAGTATGTTTCTTTGACAATTATTGCTTTGATATGGGGGAAGACCATATTCTGACTTGTACCCAAATTCTGATACCTAGTGATAATGTTCAAAATGTTTTCTAATTTTACATAGACATATCTAGCTACTATCAACTCATGATTACACATGACAACATCAAGACTCCGTTAAATAGTCAATCAAAAGTTATTTTATCTTTTACACTTAGTGAGAAACAGAATATTAAAGCAATAAAGCTAAGGTGGTTGGAATCAGCAGACTTTGTCTTATTTCCCTTCTACAAAATACCAACTATGTAAAAATCTCTCCGAAATTCAGTAAAAGCTAGAGCCAACAATATGTCTCCTACCATTTTCCTCAGGTTTGTAGTAAGAATCAAGACAAATTATATGTGGATTCCTTCAGCCAACCAAGTGCCCTATATCAGAAAATATGCCAAACAGTAGAAATTGATCTTGTTGAGGTCATGCACAATAGTCAGTAATCAAATATCAGGTAATCAAAAGTAACTCAGTAGTCAGCAAATAACAAATAATCAAATTTCACCTGTACAATTCTTTAAATCACCCATGAAAACATGGTGATAATAAATTTGAAATAATTTATTTGGTGTCATAACTTAAGAAACCTTCCAAACCCTATGTACATTTAATTCAGTATTCATTCAATAAATCTTCAAGGTAGTAAATAACATTCCAGAGTTTATGCTCTATCTATGAGCTATACATTCTACAGAAGCCCACTTGCCACTTAAATACTGGAATTAAAAACATAATAAAATTAATAACTATAAGAATATTCACATCACCAAAAATAAAAAACAGTAACAAATGATCCAATTTTTAAAAAATCAAAACATTAAAGTAATAAAAGATCGGTCCCTTATAGCCAATAAATGTAAGCTGTCTGGCATTTCTGTCACAATTCTTCTCTACAGACATACTGCCTGCTCAGTGCAAATGTTAACAAGTTTGGCTGCTAGCCAAAGGAAGAAGGTTGAAATCTATTCAGAAGCATGTTGGAAGAAAAGTCTAGCAATCTATTTCTAGAAAATCCTCTCCTGAAAACCCTCTGAAGGATGGTTCTACTCCACAGATACAGGGTTGCTGTGAGTCAGCATCAACTCAATGGCAACTGGTTTCCGGCATTTTGTTTAGATGAAACCACACACTACTTCCTGACATCCACCCATAAAGACCTGTACAGTAGACACTGTAAGCAAGAAGGAACTTTTAGAACTGCATCAAGAATGAGTCCTGTCTCATCTTCATCTCTGCCCCATGGCTCACACCCAACGGTGCAAACCCAACAGTGTTGCAAAGTGAAAGTATAAAGATGAAATTTAAAAAGTACAAGAGAGCCCCAAGCAAGATTCCTGACAACAAACGGCTCTCACTGATTTACACGGAGAAACCTGGAGGACAACCAAACCAGTGGAAAGAAATCCATACTCATGCTCATTCTAAAGAAAGGCAGAAATCATGGAACACGAGCATTATCGTGACAACTATTTTGTTTTCGGATAAGGAAATAATTAAGGATGTTTATCTCAAGATTGCTTATAACAGAAAAAATAAACAAACAGTCAAAACAATCACCAGTAGGGACCTGATTATGGTTCATTCATTAATGAACAGTACTAGCATTGAAAAGGTGCTGGAATATCTCTACAGGCATCAAAGTGCATACACGGTTAAATGAAAAGAACAAAACCAAGTACAGCACCACAGTACCACTCAAAAGTTCGTGTCTGTATTTATAAATAATAAATTTTAACATCAATAAGTGTGTAGGTTATATATGCATAGAAAAGAACTAGTGATAATATAGACTAAAGTTTTAACACAGGTTACCTTTCATAGAGGAAATCAGATACAACAATTCTTATTTTCTTCTTTGCGATGTCTTTTAACCTACTTCTATATACTTCATTGGTAGTAAGAATTCAAAGGGGAAGTTTTTTGTAAAATGTTTTCATACTCTTAAAAATCTCACATATTTGAAGAGGTAATTGTCCTTCTAGGAATCTATTTGAAGAACATGCTTAAAAATGCAGAAAAGGCTGGAAATATATATGTATTTAATATAAATGTCTTCCAGTAAAAAAAGTTTTAGTTAAATTATGGTACTTAGCTAAAATGGGATATTAAAAAGTCATTAAAATTTGTTTTTCTAGAATTTTTAGTGACAAGATATAATGTTTGTATGAAGCACCTGGCTGCCTTCAGCTTGAAGCATATCTTGCTTCTCTTCTGGGCTTCTCTTCATTTCAAATCTTTGAATGAATTCACAATCTTCAGCAGAAATCATCTGACCCCTGGAAAGTAAGAATAAAGTTAACTTTGTTAAACAGACATTGAAGAGCTGCTCTGAGGAAGTGGTAGGGGAATTCTCAAATTTCCTCCTGTCTCCTGGTAGTAAAAAAGGCCCCGGCAGAAAGACCTGGTTCAAACTGAGCAGTACTACTGACTGGCTTTGTGATCACTCGTGAACCTGTGTTCATTTACCTACTTTAAAAAAGGAAATAAAAGCTCTATTGTGTTTAAGAGAGACATAGGAGGCTGTCTACTCCTGTAAAGATTTACAAAGCCTCAGAAACCACAGGGTCACTGAGTCGCAATCAACTCTGTGACGTTAGGTTTGTCTTTAAGGGGTTGTACTGAGGTTATAATTAAATCATCTACAGCGCCTGGTGTGTTAGTCTGTGTAGACTAGAGAAACAAATCCACAGAAACTCATGTATATAAGAAATAGTTTTATATAAAGGGTAAGTGTACATCAAGAAAGCATCCCAACCCAGTGCTGTACAAGCCCCTAAGTCCAACATTAGCCCCTACGCCCGACACCGGTCTCCAAAGTCCTCAATCTCATAAAACACATGCAATGACGCTGACTGCAGAAGGAAAGCCATATCAGGAAGCATGTAAGCATCTCAGCACTGGCAGGGGTCTCCACTTGGCAGCTCCAACACCCAGGGCTGTATCAGGGTAGGTCCATGTGGCTTCTCCTCAGAGATGTCTTGCAGGAAGTGAGCCCTGCCAGCTGAAGCAGGGAACTGGCTAACGCAGCTGCACCATGTTCCGACCATCAGAGAGCCAGAGACCCGCGAACTAGAAAGGCAAGGCTCACCAAGCCATTTATCCCTCTGCCCTTCAATTAACCTCACATGTTTATCGGCCAGGTTGGCACAATAAACCTCAACTGTCTCACCTAGCTCATAGTAAGCACTGAAAAGCTTACTTCTTGGCATAATTCAAAGTCTCACCTACACTTCTACACCCAAGCCAATTTATTTGGCCACCTAACTCATCAAGACTAAAGTCACTTTATATGAACTTTTACAATAGTTTTTTCCAGCACATCCTTTCACCCCCCATTCTGAAAAAGGTAATCGTCCTCTTTCTCTCAGAAAAACCGGCCCTCTATCCTGATCCTCCCCCTCCTCCCCACAGTTGTCCTGTGTTCCTCTTTTCCTTCTTTATGTCCCAGGGCTATCCACTTGTTCTTTTTCCCCCGTCTACACTCATTCCATAGGTCATTCCTTGCTTTGCTTTGCTTTTCCAAACTCTTACCTCAGTAACGAGTTCTGTCTTCCCTATCTCCCAACCTTCTTTTTCTTCCACTTAGATATCTTAGTATTTGCACAAATTCTGCACCATTAAGATTGATTCTGTCATTTTCCTCTTCCAGAACCAGCCAGACCTTCTAAACCGTCTGTTCATCAGAGGCTATGATACATTCTGCAAGCTCCCCGGCCGACAGCCAAAATCCAGGCTCTCTTATTAAAAGATGTGTAGCCAAAATCCAGGCTCTCTTATTAAAAGATGTGTGGGAATGCCTCCTTGCTAGTCTCTGTGAGATGCTGGGCACTTCAATATTCACATCAACCTTTTCAGGCCCTCAGTAAATCCAAGCCACTCTGAGGGATTTAGCAATCCAATTATTTACATTGGCAAATGCCCAAGCATTCTGACCACGGCTTCTATATCAGTAAACTATGTGTCCTACTCTACCAAGTGGCTATACAAATTAAATAAAACAGAAGGAAACAGCTGAAATAGATGAACCTTTAGTAAAGGAAAGTTTAAATTTTAAAACATTTTGTACTGTGTGTTGTCATTAAAACAGTATTAATATTCTTTTTAAGCCAAACCAAAACTCATGGCCACAGTTTTAATTCCAATTCAGACTCTCATAGCCATCCAGGCTATTTCGATGCACAGTGACCCTACAGAACAGACTAGAACTATCCCTGAGAGTTTCCAAGACTGAAACTCTGTGTGAATAGAAAACTTCATTTTTCTCCCATGGAGCATCTGGTGGCTTCGAACTGCCGACCTTGTGCCATGCTCCCCAACATGTACCCCACTACGACAACCAGGATTCCTCAGGTAGCAACTCTATATAGGGCTTTCAAGGCTATAAACCTTTATAGACACAAATAGCCTCATCTTTTTTCCAAAGAGTAGCTGGTGAGTTTGAACTGCTGGCTTTGAGTTTCCAAAAACTCATTGCTATCAAGTCGATGCCAACTCATAGTGATCCTTTAGGACAGGGTAGAATTGCCCGTGTGGGTTTCTTAGGAGTGGAAAACCCCATCTTTCTCCCAAGAGGCAGCTGGTGGTCTTGACTGCCGACCTTGAGGATCGCCTGCAGCCCAGCTCATAGCCACTGTGATACCAGGGCTCCTTTGACCTTGAGATTAGCTGTCCAATATTTACCCAACAGTGCCAAGAGCACTCCTGTATATCTGTTGTTTAAACATCTGAGCCCCTTTCCCCATTCTCTTGAAAGACTAATATACTAGCAAATCCAATTAGTGAAACTCAAAATATGAAGGTTTCCAAATACACATAATGAGAGAAATTTTCTTCCTCACAATTTTCTTAGGGTATGTCACGAGAGCAGAGGATGAGGTTCCTGTGCATTTAAGAAGGAGGTGAGAGATCAGAACAAGAAAAGAAAGCCAGCCAGGACTTCAGGTGGAGTCCTGGGAAAGAGAGCCTTATCTGACCCAATAAGAGACACTACAGATGGAAGTCATACTCAAAGCTGCCCCTTCCCTACAAGAGAGCTGATCTTTCCTGCTTCCTTGCCACTCCCATCCACAACCGGTCTTCTTCTAAAGATGTTAACTTTATGTATTCAAAGTAAACGATAAATCCATCAAGGCTTTTTTTCTTTAACCAACTGGGGTCTGTATACACTACTACATATACTAAATTGTTTTATATACTTAAGGACTTTGTCTTATATGCTTTTGGACTTTTGTCATCCACTGTTGCATATTTTTATATTACTTCCATACTGTTTAACATACTTTAATTCTGCTCTGAACATACACTCCTTTTCAAAAAGCACAGTTCTCTGAACGATTCTCATGCCTTTCCTTTCTCCAGGATTCCTTCATTACCAATCCAAAGGAGAGTTTTCAGTCTGTCTTTCCAAATCTTTCTATGGCAGGTAAGTGTGTCCACTTCTTGACATGACCTTCCTTCCCCTCTCAGTGCACCTCTCTGCAGTCTCATCACTCATTCTTTCCTTGTGCCTTGGATTCCGGCGTAAGCCTCTTTCCATTTCTCATTCTATGGGCTTTCCCCAGAAGCGTCCATCTATCTCGAGGCATACACTACTCTGCATTCGTATCAGGTATTGGGGCAGCTTTTTTTACCCATTTAAATTATTGTTCTTTTAAATGGCCAGCCATTCCTTCTCAAATCGGGCTTCTTTTCACGAGTGGCAAGGGAACCTCCTCAGCTTCAGGTTCTTTTGACTTGGAGCCTTCCTTTGAGCCCATCATCCAGCAGCTGAGGAAGGTCTCTGACATTTCACAAGCTATCAGGCACCAGTCCCAGCAATTCCTTGTGCCTAAGGCCAATCTCTCTCCAGTTCACTGTCTCTGAAGAAGCTGGAGTTCTAGCACTTCAACAGTAGCAGCAGTCTACCAAAAGGGCCCCACCTTTCCAGCCAACCCTCCTGCAAATTCCCTTCTTATCGTTATCAGACAGCTTTCTCACACATATCTGATTATATTATTCCTTTTATTGCTGGGAGACTATGAACTTGGATGGATGTTCTACCTAGCATTTAGCCAGAGGTTTCAACTAAAAATCTTTGTAACTAATCAATGGAAAGAGCCTACTTGAGTATATACTTATTACTTAATCTATCTGAACAGCTGTCTATTCTTCTTTAAAATAAGGACAGAAAAACCTCCAGCAGAGTACTGCCATGAAAATTACGTGAAATAATATATTACTCAAAATTCAAAATCCAACTTCTTTAGCACAGCGTATAAGGTCCTCCATGATCTTGCCTTGTTATCCTTTCCCACGGCACTCAACTCTACCGCTGAATAACAACAACTCTGCTTGCTGGGGCTTTCATCAGCTAACAGTAATAGGCAATCTACATGTGCTATGTATCTTTAAAAACAAAGATGCAACAATGAACTAGATCTCCCTCATTGAGCATGCATTTCAATGAAGCAATTAGAAAATACACACAAAAAAATTTTTTTAACGAACACACCTTTATAATGTCAAGGATGATGATGGTTTGAGACAAAAAACTGCGGCCAAACAATGACTAAAAGTGACAGACATAATGAAGGAAAGAATACAGTTGGATGATGGAAATGGGAGAAGGCCTTTCTGAGGCCACTTGCGCAAAAACCCGAAGGAAGTGAGTTAATGAACCAAGTGATCTGAGGGGAGAACTTCCAGGGAGTCCAAGTGCAAACCCAGTGGCTAGGGAAGGAATAAGCTTGCTATGTGAAGACAGGTGTAATTAGAAGGTTTGGAGCAAAGTGCTATTATTTGATTTGCATTTGTTAAAATCACTGCTCCTGCTTTGTAAAGATTTGCTTCTAGGGACAAAGTAAAAGCAGACCTTCTTATCAGAATCAACCATGCGTTTTATAGATTAAGAATCACCTTGAAAAGCACTAAACGACAGAAATAAGGCAGAAATTCTTCCAATGGCACCCTGGGCCTTGTCAGCACTCTGGGGGTGGCTATCCAATCTCAGCTTCTCCCATCGCCACCTACAACACATTCTTTACTCTCCTACCCAACGTGCTCTCATCAGCTCTCTGATTTGCTCAGTCTGCTCTCTCCAAATGGCTAAACCAGTCATCCTTCCAAACTCAGTTGAGATCATCATCAGGAAAACTCCAAGGAGCTGTCCTTTTTCGGTGCAACTGTCATAGCCGAGCATGTCTCTAATATACTCAATAATACGTACTCCTACAGGACTCCTGAGTTCCATGAGGGGAAATGCCTCACACTTGGCAGGAGCTCCATAGTTATTTGACGGCTGACTATATCAACAAAGTTAAAGGATCATTTTTGTACACTACCTATCTTTCCTACCACAAAATAAAGTGCTAAATATAAAATTAAAGATTCCCAAATTTACTTTTCAAAATGTGTATGCTAATCTGAGCAAAATTTCTCTAGTAGCTCACTGTATTATAAATATCCAAAATACAAATATGAAGTCAAAAGGTTAAAATGGAGTCAAGAATAAATGAAAGCTTACTTTACAAATAACCATTTCACAAATATAAAAGCACCAGCATTCAAAATATCAATACATGCAAGAACAATGAAGAACTAAAATTGGAAGTATATTAAACAGGAGCTCTAGTGGCATAACAGTTACTCACTGGGCTGCAAGCTGCAAGGTCAGCAGTGTGAAACCATCAGTTTCTCCATAGAAGAAAGACGAGGCTTTCTGCGTCCTCAAAAGTTACAGTCTTACATCAAAGAACTAAAGCTCATATCAGTGGGTGCCCACCTTCCTGATAAGATCACTGAAGACAAACGTGTGCATAAGCAAATGTGGTGAAGAAAGCTGATGGTGTCCGGCTATCAAAAGATACAGTGTCTGGGGTCTTAAAGGCTTGAAGATAAACAAGCGGCCAACTAGCTCAGAAGCAACAAAGCCCACATAGAAGAAACACACCAGCCTGTGTGACCACGAGCTGTCAAAGGGATCAGGTATCAAGCATCAAAGAACAAAAAATCATATCATTATAAAGATGGGTGAGTGCAGAGTGGAGACTCAAAGTCCATCGGTAGGCAACTAACACCCCCTTAATGAAGGGTTGTGGGGAGGAGATGAAACCAATCAGGGTCCAGGGTAGCAATGATGAAACATATAACTTTCCTCTAGTTCTTGAATGCTTCCTCCCCCCACTATCATGATCCTAATTCTACCTTACAAATCTGGCTAGACCAGAGGATGTACATGGGTACAGATAGGAACTGGAAACACAGGGAATCCAGGACAGATGACTCCTTCAGAACCAGTGGTGAGAGGCGCGATGCCTGGAGGGTGGAGGGAATGTGGGGTCGAAAGGGGGAATCGATTACAAGAATCTACGTATAGCCTCCTCCCTGGGGGATGGACAGCGGACAGTGTAACTTATGGAGACATTGGACAGTGTAACTTATGACAAAACAATAATGATTTGTGAATTGTGGAGGGTTCATGAGGGAGGAGGGAGGGGGAAATGGGCAGCTGATATTAGGGGCTAGAGTAGAAGGCAAATGTTCTGAGAATGGTGAGGACAGCAAATGTACAATGTGCTTGACACAATGGATGGATGGATGGATTGTGATAAGAATTGTACGAGCCCCCAATAAAATAATTTTTTTTTTACAGTTACAGTCTTAGAAACCCACAGGGGAAGTTCTACCCTGTCCTTTGGGGTCACTATGAGTTGGAATCACCTCGGTGGCAGTGTTTTGTTTGTTTGTTTGTTTGTTTGTTTGTTTGTTTTGAGTAAGTGGTTCAATAGTTAAGCACTCAGACGCTAACCACAAAGTTGGCACTCGGAACCAATCTGGCCACTTGTCAGGAGAAAGACTTGGCAACCTGCCCACGGAAAGATTACAACCTAGAACACCCTAGGGAGCAGTTCTACTCTGCCGTGCAGTCTCTGAGTCAAAAGTAGATTCGATGGCATCTAGTAACACCACTTTAAATACATTATCTCAAAACAACTCTTTAGAATAAGAAAGGTGCATCTATCTGCTCTCATAAAGATTTATAGCCTCGGAAAGCCTATGGCGAGTCATGATGAGTCCTATTCGTCTCAATGGCAATGGGTTTTGGTTACTGAACATAAGAAAAGTGATGTGACTTGTCTAAGATGATCAAATTAATAGAAAAACCAGAATTCAAACCCAGGCCTTCCAATTTCTGCTTTTTCATTGGTTGCATAATCCATTCTGCAAGACCATTCATCACCAGACTGATCGCCATGCTCCAATGGTTGGTCTGGCAGGCTCTGCCATAACCCCATCTTCCTTCCCTAGCTCGTGAGTATTCTAGCTGCATTCCCCACTCATTAAAAAGTACAACTTTCCAGGCAGAGAATGTCAAAAGGGCCACAGCTGCTCTGCCATCCCATTTCAACCCAAGTGATTTCCACCACAGTCTACCATCTCCCCATGACAGCTAATTATCATGAGGAGGAAGTATTCTCTTACATATTTATCAGTACTTTCCCAGTATGTTTCCTCATAAAAGCATGACCATGAAAAAGTCCAATGCAGAAGCACATGATCATCTGTGATTCACAGTAAGTCAGTACTTACTGGAGGTAAGACTGCCAGTTCACTTTGTTCGCACGAACTTCTGCAGCCTTGGCAGCAATAATGTTGGTTGGGACAGCAGCATCCACAGCACCTCGGATATCCATTTTGGTCATTTAAATTTTATGGTCTTGAGTCTTTATCAACAGATCTCCAATTTAATGCAAGGCAAAGATAGAATACAAGTTTTATTACTTTTGCAAATACTATCATTATTAATATTATCACCATCACTATTAAGAATTGAAGGTTCTTAGTTACAGACAAATACTAATAAACCCGATTTAAATGTCAGCAATATAATCAGTTCAAATACTACATAACTAATTCTGAAGATGCCCTAATTCTAAAATATCATTGTATTTTAATCTAACGCAATTGCACACTGCTCCCTAAAAAGCTTTTTTAATTAATTGCACTAATATTGTAGTAAGACTTTAAAGAATCCACATAAGATAATGATATCAAAAATTACAATACAAAAATAAGTTTACACAATTCGGATCAACTTCTTCTTCTGGCAAAGAACAGCTAAGACCTTTATCAATATTTATTAAGCATCATTAAGTATATATACAAACATTACATTACCCATTCAAACTGCACCCTATAGATTGAGAAAGCAAGTTCCTAAACAAGACGCTTCCTATTATACTTTAAAGTTCACAGTATTTTTCAATATCAAGTTTGGGTAATTTTTGGTAACAAATACCAATTATAATTTAAGTACACTCAACAATATGTGTCAGGCCTAATAAATGAAATCTAACCATTTAGCATCTAAGTGGTTCTCCTTCCTAAATACCAGGTGGAAATCTTATGCCTGATTTTATCAAGCCACGATATGTAAGTTCCAGTTCACAAAATAATAAACTAATGGTCATGACCAGAGCTAAAAGCACACACAAGACTCTATTGCAGAGTCCCAGTGACCTTAGTGAGTGGAACTTCGGGGCTGCAGCTAAGGATGTGTTGCCTAAACATGCAAGAGTGCTGGGGACTGGCAAGCCCGGTGAAAACAGGTTCCTTCCGGGACAGGCTGGAGCCCTGGGCTGAGCAAGCTCTGCTCCAGATGGCGGCTCCAGAGTTACCTCGGTCCCCTGAAAAACGTACCCCTCCAACGGGCCGACGTCCTGGCCCACACCTGGGGCAGGTGTATTTCTCACCCCGCTCTCTCCTATCTCACGTCCTTGCACCCGAAAAGGATTGGCGGTTTTTCAAGAAAGATTTGCCGTTTCATAAACCTAGTGAAGGTCTGGAAGGAACAAAATCTCAGAGGATGGGGCCTGGGGGCAAAGGGTAAGGGGGGCCGGGGGGCAAAGGGTAAGGGGGGCCGGGGGGCAAAGGGTAAGGGGGGCCGGGGGGCAAAGGGTAAGGGGACCGGGGGGCGAAGGGTAAGGGGGACGAGAGACCAGCAGGCACCAGGGCCGCCGAAGAAGGCGAAGCGGTGCGCTCACCTGGTCGGTGCCGGAGACCCACACCCCGGCGGCAGCCCTGGGTCGTGGCTCCCGAACGTCCTCACGAGACGGAAAAGGCCCGAGTAGGGGGAGCCCTGGAAGCCGCAAAAAGAACGGGTCGGACACCGAGGAGGAGACGTTGAGGGCGCAGGGCGAATGGAAGGAAGTGAGCGCAAACGCCGACTGACAGCGGCGCCGCTCACGTGACCGGCGGCCACGTGACCCGGCCGGACGGCGGAAGCCCGGAGCGCCCAAACCCGGCGCCGGCACAGTTCACCCTGGAAACTGAGCTCGAAGCTCGCGGGGGGCGCCGACGGGGCTAGCCGAGCTCGCGACGCGCCGGTGCGGGCCGGAGGGGGCCCACCGGCCGGGCAGCCCGCGGGGAGGCAGCCAGGACGCGAGACCGAGACTCATTTATCTTACCCGGCATGCCCTGGCAACGTTTGATGTAGTGCTCAGTAGGCTAGTTTTAATGTTGACGTAGCAGGCCTTCTGCAACTGATGTTCAATATCAACCTAACACTGAGAAGCTGATCCTCAAGGTCACAACTTTGCTTGATCCCCCCGGGTTCCGTGTTTGGTAAATAATCTAGGGCCCGTGCAATATTCGAAACATAGTTCTACTAAAAGTTCATTACCTGAAAATCCAATTTAACTGGGGTCCAATTTTTGACCCCAGTTTTTCTGATGTATTCTCCCTGACTCCAGCAACCTCCTTTCTCTTAAATAAATACTAAGTAATTCTATACCATCACTAGAGTTTACAAGTATCTAAGTAGCGTGCTTTTGTGTAAAGGCGCTGAGAGGGGTTTAGAACTGTCTTAGTCATCTCGCACTGCTATAACAGAAAGACCAAAAGTGAATGCCTCTAACAGACAACTTTATTCTCATGCAGTTTAGGAGGTTAGTAGTCTGAATTGAGGGCTCTGGCTCTAGAGGGAAACTTTCCCTCTGTGCACACTCCGTAACCAAACATCAAACGTCCAGGAGAGAAATAGCATGAATGAACAAAGGTATATATAAATATTTTCAGTTCAATATTTTCATAATATAAAATAATCCAAATTTAGTCCATCAGTAAAGAAATGGAAGCAATTGCACAATATCATATTTTGAAATATTATGCAGTGACTGGAAAATATTTGACTTAGAAGTTATGAGGAATGGGATATAATGAAGTGTTCATTTTAATCTTTTACTTTGATAACAATAGAATTCACAAGAAAAACCATCTGGTCCCAAGGTTTCTTCAGAAACGTTTGTGTTTGATTGTTTTGTGATGGCAATTTCAGTTTCTTTGATATAATATGCAAGTTATCAAGGAGCCCTGTTGGTATTGTCAGTTAAGTTTTGGACTGCTGACCCCAAAGTCGGTAAACCCACCAGTCACTCCTCTGGAGAAAGAAGAGATTATCTGTACCCATAAAGATTTACAGCCTCGGAAACCCTGTAGATAGTTGCTGAGTTGGAACCAACTCATTGGCCTTGGGTTTAGCTATTCAGATGACTTGTTTCATAATGGAACTTGTATAGTTTGGGTCTTTAAAGAATTTATCCATGTCACAAATTCCAACTCACAGCACCCCTGTGTATGCGAGCAGAACTTTCAGAAGCCTATCTGTCTTTCAAGGTACCTCCGGGTAAGCTAGATCTACCAATCTTTGGGTTAGTAATTGTGTCAGGTATGGATTCCCCAATAAGCAAAGTAAACATGTATTTTTAAAACAAAAACCACTGGTATCAAGTTGATTTTAACTCATAATGACCCTTTGGACAGGTAGAACTGCTCTTGTGGGTTTCCAAGACAGTAACTGTGTTTAGGAGTAGAAAGCCTCATCTTTCTCCCCCAGAGTGCAGAACACTCTGGTGGTTTTACATCACTGACCTGTGGTTAACCAAGCCAACCAAGCTCACTGCCATCGAGTCAGTGCCAATCCATAGCAACCCTATAGGGCAGGGTAAAATTGTCCCTGTGAGTTTCAGAGACTACAACTGTTTGCCTAGCTTTCTCCCACCGAGCTGCTGGTGGTTTCAAACTGCTGACCTTGCGATTCACAGCCTAACTCATAACCACTACACAACTGGGGCTCGTTAGACCTGTGATTAGCAGCCCCAAAGGTCCATAGATGCTGTGAAAACATGACACGTAGAATAGCAAGCACTGTAATGGGAAAGAACTAGCAAGATACTAAATAAAATTGATACAATGTTGTGTATGATAAAAATGATATTTTAGTTTGGGGTGGGTGAGGTATAACACATTCCGTTTACTCCCATCACCAGTGGTGCTGTTATCACGTGACTTGTGACACACCAGGCTCTGTGCAACGTGAACCAGAACATGCCCTCAGATTGAGCTCTCTTGTATCAGCATCTCTGTAATTGCCGCTGCCCTCGCTAGGTTATCAATAGGAGTTCAGTAC